TAAAATCGATCTTCAGCCGCAGTGTGAGTAAGCATCATCAACTGGCCATGGTGCTAACAAATTGTCTTTATCCTTTTTCAAGCAATGTTAGCTAAATGTATCATTTGCTTATCCCTTTACTTCTGGGATATTTATCCTAAAAAATAAGAACATTGCTAAGTCAGAAATACTCATTTTGTAAAAAAAACTGCATAACTAGACAGATTTGTGATCCTTACTAGGTTAATAATGTATCTGTTATAGAATTGGATTCATTTATAAATTAAGTTGGTAAATCTAGAAGGAAAAAAAAATGTTCTGACTTTTCCTACAGTAAGCATTTCCTCAAGTAGTAGTCATTCTAAAAGATTCGAGAACACTCAATTCTCTGCTATTTTTCCTTTCTTTGCTCAACTTGAAAAGAAAGCCAAATATCAACTTGAAAGATGGGACAAGGGATCATGGTTTTTCATTCCAAAGGTCGGATTGCTCCCGGAAGGTCCATATTTTGCCAAATATTTTTGACAGGGTTTGGTGTTAAAACCTTTTGACAACTATCATAATATTTCTAATACTCATTGATTATTTAGTAAACGTGAAGCTATGTTTGGATTATCTTTTGCAATTAGTTCACTGCACCATTATGTTCATCTCGTCTCTTCAAAATATCTCGTGGTGATTCTTCTAAACAATGTGTGATTGGAATAATAACTTCACATGTTGAAGAGTTTTGTGCTGCAGCTGAGAGGCATGTAAATACAAGCTGCTTATTTGCAAGAAGCTTCCAGATTTGCAATATGATTGCTATGGAAACCACATAATGAAAACCTTATAACCATCTGTGTGGTTTGATGGATTTTCCTGCATAGCTGAGCTGTTTTTGTTTACTGTTATTAAAATGTTGAATGGACTATATTAACCCACAAACATTGATTACTTGAGGTATTAATTAGTATTGCATAATGACATTGTGCCTCAAAAGCAAAATAAAATGTTCAATAATAACCCTAAACAAAACACCCCGTGAGTGTGTATGTCTTTATTATATTGTGAAGGTAATTATTGTCTAAAATTTTGGTCACTAGTCCTCAGATATTTTTTATTACAAATTTGAAAGTGTGGAAAGGTTTGTTCTGTTAATAAATGAATATATTGTAACAGGATTTTTTTTTTCCCCATGATATTTGAATCTGTTAGTTTACTCAAGATTTATTGAGCATCTGCCTTGGGTTAGATTCTAGTCAAGGTCTAGTCTGAGTATTTTTTCCACTAAAAACTAAAAAAAAGAAAGGACAAAACTACTAAATCTGATTTTATTGTCTTTTATATGCATGATGCTTATATTCTTAACCCAAGGTAAAATGAGTTGTTTTGAATATTGTTTAAGACCAATTGATGAATGAAATGCATAAAATACTTTGACCTAAAAACATTAGTACTAAGTTTAAAAGGGAGAAAGGAAATACCTCAGCATTTCATCCTCTAAAATAGTATTTATGAAGTATCTCACATGGATTTCCGTTTGGATACTTCACAGTATATATTGAAACTTATGTAAATATATACTTAAAAAAAAAAAAAAGATATGTTTTCTTTTTCTTCTTTTAATTTAAGAATAAATTTTCATTAGGCCAAGACTCCCTTTATACCTCTATGCAGTCCCCAGCACACATTAAGGCAATTCAATTTTAATAAAATAAAGATATATTATAATAAATGAATTTTTCTAAGTTCATTGTTAACTTTGCCAGAGATCAGGGTGTTTCCATGTAATTATCTGAATCCGTTTTTATGATGTCTTAAGGCTGACTTGTAAGGAGCTCTGGTAGCGTAGTGGTTACGAATCAGGCTGCGAACCTTAAGGTCAGTGGTTCGAAACTACCAGCTGCTCCGCGGGAGAAAGATGAGGCTTTCTACTCCCGTAAAGATTTACACCCTCAGAAACCCTATACAGGGTCGCTATGGGTCGGAACCGACTCGATGGCACATAACAACAACAACAACAACAAGGCTGACTTGTGAGTCTATAGTTCACCATTCTTCCTTAAGAGCCAAGAATAGTCCTTCCAAGCACTCGACCTCAAGGTCAATGTAAACTTCAGGGTGCGCTGTTCAAACCCACCAGTCTCTCCTTGAAAACCCTATGCATGGTCACTATGAGTCGGAATCGGCTGGGCAGCACTTGAAACAACACCATATAGATGTGGGTATGGCTTTTGACTGAAGATAAGTGCACTTAATTATTGTAAAATTTACTCCTTGTTGTTGAATTTGTGCAAGGAGGGTGGTACTGGTGATGGTTATGTGCCGTGGAGTTGGTTTCGACTCATTTCAAACCTGCCTGGGATTTCCGAGGGTGTATATCTTTATGGGAGCAGAAAGCCTCTCTGTGGAGCAACTGGTAGATTCAAACTGTTGGCCTTGTGGTTAGCAGCCCAGTGCGTAACCCACCACGCTACCAGGACTCCTGAAAGGAGGGTGTTGTCGTTAAGTGCTGTTGAGTTGGTTCCGAGTCTTAGAAACCCTGTATAGGATTTCTGAGGAGCGACTGGTGAGTTTGAACCACTGGCCTTGTGGTTCAAACTGACCTTGCAGTCCAGTGCTTACTCTAAGCACTCCACCAGGACTCGGAAGGAGGGTATTACTGGAAAAATAGTCTGAATATTAAAGAAAGCTTTCTCTTGCACCTTTTAAAGAAAGTATCTGTAAAATCAATAGGTAGGACTGTAAATGTCTCTTTTACATTTAAAATTAATATAAAACTGCCTTCTTAATTCATGTATGTTAGCTAGACCTTGATTTGTTTTAAGTGAGACAGCTCTACCAGGTGGTGCAGAAGTTAAGCACTCAGCTGGTAACCAAACAGTTGGCAGTTAGAATGCACCAGCACCGCTTCTGTAAAGATTTGGGGCCCTTCTGCTCTGTGCTACAGAGTCACTGTGAGTGGAATCCACCAGGCGGCTGTAGGCAGTGCGTAGCTGTTTTGAGAAAAAGAGACAGAACTCGAAGGCACTTAGTGGTCTTGCTGTAGGATAAGCACTGGAAACCTAACCACAATGTCTGTGGTTCAAGCCCACCAGTTACAGTGCTGGAGAAAGATGAGTTTTTCTGCTCCTGTGAAGATTTACAGCCTCAGAAATCCTCTACGGGGTCACTCTGAGTCAGAACAGGCTCACTGGCACCTAACAACAATAACAACAACTGTGAGAGCAATATGTGTAAAGTGCCAGATATTTCCAGCTGTTTCTTCCATTAAAGCTCATGCCATTTTGTTGGAATTGACTTGCAAAAAGTCAAAGCAGTCTTGTTTGTCTTGTGATTGTGGTAACACTCAAACTTGATTTTGAGTTTCCCCCATAAGCACATTAAATTCCTCCTGCCTAAATGTGAGTCCTTATGTCCCCCCCCCAGAAAAAAGAGCCTATCTTGTAGTATATCCTCTTTTTTGGTGACAGTATATCTTACATATTCAAAATCCTTGGTTACTCTTTTTTTTTTTTTAATTCCCCTCACCCAGTCACATCCATTCAGTCACAAAGCTTATCAGTTCTACTTCCTTTTCCCTCTCACATCCATCTCCTTACCTTCTTATCAAGATTTCCTTCCCTTTGCTAGACTTGTGAGTATTCACTATTCTCCAGGTCCCGTCTCCAGATTTATCTTTACTGTTCCTCATGGCTTTACTCTGCCTTTTCCTGTTTCAAAGCCTCTGGGGCTCTCATCACCCACCAAACGATGTCTGAAATCTACAGCAGAATGTTCTTGGCCCTTCAACAATTGGCCCAGATTGTTAGCATTGTCTCCCATCTTGCTCCTCTTCTCTAAGTACTACATTCTTCAGCCAAAAGAATTCTGATTGCACCACCTTTTTTTGTCCATACCTTTCTCTCTATCTGGACGTACCCTCCTTGCCGTCTGTCCTTATTCAGATTCCTTCCACTCTTCAAAGTCTTCACGGTGTCCCTTGAAGGTGTTCCCTTGTCCCGTTTATGTCCTGCCAACTTCCTAAGTAAGACGCTCCAGTCTGATGACCTCTCCAGTAGATCCTCTCTCTTACAGGTAGTTAATACTCAACGAAGATTTATTGATGGAATTATTTAATCATCATAATGGCATGTATAGGATAAAATACATGGACTTTAAAATCAGAAACCTAAGTTTTAATAATAAAATTTGAGAAGCTAGCTCACCTTTTTGAGTCTCAATCTAGTTAGCATAAAGTGAGGATTTAAAAAATCATTTCTCTGTGCAATCTTAACATCTGCCACACTGTGTGACACACAATAGGAATTTGGGGGGACTTGCCTAGAAGAATGAGGATCTTTCTAGTATCTTTTTGTGGACATCAAATGAGAAAAGATAAGAAAGTATCTGACAGTAAATAGCTTACAGGTTAACTATTTTGCCACATACATTTTCTCTTTGTGGATATTTTATGATCATATCAGTGGCACTCCTGCCATATTACCTTGTGGCATACGAGTATCATGTGAGATGCCAAGGCAGGGGTTGCTATTTGGAAATAGAGTTTTGTTTGCTCACTTTTGTTGTTGTTGTTAAGTTCCATCGAGTCTGTTCTGATTCATAATGACCCTGTATAGAGTTTTTAAGGTGCTGGTGAGTTTGAACCGCCAACTTCGCAATTCAAACCTACCTTGCGGCCCAGTGCTTAACTTCCAACACCACACCAGGACTACTTGCTCAGCTTTGGTGGTGGTTGTGTGTGGGTCAGTTATAACTCATAGCGAACCTTTATAGGGTTTCCGAGGCTATAAGTCTTTACGGGAGCAGAAAACCTTATCTTTCTCTTCTGGAACCACTAGTAGTTTTGAACTGCTGACCTTGAGGTTAGCAGCCCAACTCTAATGAAAAAGAAATGCAATATGGATTAGCCTTATTCTTCAAGAAGTAATATTAAAGTGTTATACACTTTTAGTTCTGCTTATGAAAGGGCATGAGTACTGTGTTGCATGTACCCTGAAGCAACCTTTCAATGTGTCGTTGATTTTGTTTATTTACAGAGGAGGAAGAAGCCTCCGCTCCAGTGAAAATGGAAGAACAAAGGAAGATGAGTCAGGAGACTGTTCCACATACTTCAGGTAATGAATTGTGTAGCATCCTGGTAAAGAAGCGGATTTTAGATTTGTTGACTTTCATTTCAGTCAGTTTCTTGTTACTGCTCTAAAGACGTTTGCACAGCTCCTGAAGTTGGCTTGTTCTGTCTGGATATCTCATGGCTGATAAGCTGCTTAGTCCCATTTAGGATGCATGAAAACCACTTGAGAAGGATTTATAAAGTAAGCCAATTTATACAAGGTATTCCTTCCTGAATTACTTTGTAATGACTCAATTAGCTTTCATTTCTGCACAAAGGAGATTTAGTTGCATAAATTAGCTTATCATCATTGAGGAAGTGTCACTGCTAAAGGACAGTTTATAGATACAACATGCAGTTGCTGTCAAACCTATAAGAATGTAATATAGACATCTGTGTATACTTTGTGCTTGAGCAGAACAGACTTCTGCCATTCAGAGACTAACAGGGGACAACAAGTTGCCCAGGGGACTGGCAATGTAGACATCTCTGAAAAGGTCAACTTGACACAGGCTCTGACAATCGACCCACAGCTCTGTCTTCTTTGATAAAAATCAGATAAACTTAAGACCGCTAATTGATCTGCAGCCTGTTTAAATGTTGGCCATGCATATCTTCATCGCATATGATTAACACAGAAAGCAAATGAATTGGGTAAGAAATGCCAGAGTCCAGTGACAGCAGCTTAAAAATTGGAAAAGGACACTGGTGGCCCAGAAGGTTAGGAAGGATATTCCTCTTATCCATTTCCACCTGGCACGTGGCCCCAAGTACTAATTATGAGTGAGTCTGGAAAAATAGCTGCAAACACTTATGTTTGCCATCACATGATATAGGCAACTTTTCTTGCTAGTTGTTATTTCCAAACAGCAAGAGATAAACCATATCTTTAGTGCACGCCTGAGGTTAGTTTTGATAAACCAGTAATTATTTTACACTGCAGAAAAAAGGACTTCCTTCTTATCAGCACTTTACACCTCTTCACAGCCACATGTCAATTGGAGCAAGGTCTGCCATATCATCCCTGTGTCCTGTAGGGGATTGTAGTCAGGGTCACCTTCCCCTCTCTCATACATGTCCATACATCACTCTTTCAAGCTGTCACAGGCAGGGAGGACAAGAAGCGTGTGTTCAGGAAGTAGCTTTCCAGAGTCCTTCCTACCATGACATGTGGAAAGGAAACAGAGGCCTGATTTCCGGACCTGGGCAGGAAATCGCAGGAGCAGGTCGCTGCAAAGCGTTTGGGTTTTGCTTTTCTTAGAAAGGAAGCAGGGACAACGTCATTAATGTTAACATTCCAGTCCCCTAAAATGCAGTTATGAAACACTAGGCCTAGTGAAACCTTGAAAACTGTGTTCAATAGTAATTTAAGTATATATGTTTTGGGTTATGTCTTATAAAGCTTCTGCCAGGAGCTAACAGTTCTTTTATTTATTTATTTTTAAATCAATTCAGATACAGAAGGTAAATATTCTTTCCATGGTTGCAAGCATTTTGGCTCGAAGCAATTGTATTTTTCACAAAAGTCATTTAAAAGTAACCATCTCCCGAAGTTTTACCTTTGAGGGTAGGGGAGAAAATCAGCTTTTTCCTAAAAAGAATGCAGTAAGTCGAACTAATTTTCCATGGACAAGCTATAAAGCACTATACTACAATAATTCTTATCTTTAGTGACATGACATTCTTTTCAAGCAACAGTTTTAAAGTTTTGCATAGCTGTGACCTTTGATCTTCCCTAGACTGTCAAAAATGTAACTCTAGAAGTTTGTTTGCTGTGTAGGGCAATGAGTTGACAAGGGTATTGCTATCTTGCTGAGCATCACATGACATGAACTTCTAACCTTACTCAAGAATGTCAAATATTTTTCACACTAATTTTACTAAAAAAATTTTTTAAATTGCAGACTGCTCTAATGCAAAATAACAAAAACAGAGCAAAAGTGAATCTTACATTTCTTACCAAGTTCATTCATGTTAAGCGTACATATCTTGCATATGTATATATATAGAGAGAGATAAAGACGATGTTTGATTTCTAGAACACTGTAGAATGTACTTGCCTTTCTAAAAACCTATCACAGGGAGAGATTCTCCATTATTTTATCATATATGCTTCATCCTTTGTCATATTGTAAACATTTCTTGAGTTTTGCAGTTTTTACACATTAATCCTATATGCATAACACTTCTGTATGTCCAGTGATCTGTTTTTGTATGTTTTTAAAAGCAAGAGCAAAGGCATTGTTTAAATCCTTCACTGTCCGGTTGACTTACAACCCTCCCTCCTTACACTCTTCCCCTCCTCCTTCCTACCATTTGTACTTGTAGAATAAGAAACGTAAGGAGATTTTTGTAATTAAAAAAAAAAAAATGACAAAAATCATTGTATGGATTGAGTTGTTTCGTTAAGTGCCGTCAGTCAGTTCCAACCTGTAGCGACCCTGTAAAGGGTTTCCAAGGAGCAGCTGGTGGGTTTGAACAGCCGACCTTGCAGTTCAAAGTGACCTTGTGGTCCAGTGCATTGTCCTGCAGTGTTCCACCAGGACTCTTTACGGATAGATTAGGAACAGTAACAGTACAGTAAAGACAATTAAACAGGCTTCATCTGTATTTTACAACATATGTTTAACTGTGGTATATGAGAGTATATATACTCCATTCAACATTTTGTTTTGATACATAGCTCACATGGATTTTTGTGTGTAAACATTGTTTACTTTTGTGACCCTGCTATGCTTTTGAGGCTCTGTTTAATTCTTTGTATATATTTGGTGGTAGTGGTTGTGTGCCATGGAGCTGGTTCTGGTTCATAGTGACCCTCCATAGAAGTTCTGAGGCTGTAAATCTTTACTAGAGCAGAAAACCTCATCTTTCTCCCGTGGAACAGCTGGTAGTTTTGAACTGCTGACCTTGAGGTTCGTAGCTTGACTACCAGAGCTCCTGTATATTTAGCTACATTAAAAAAAAAAAGTAAATCATAGGATCTTACTGTTCACAAAGGAATAAGATAATTCCTAAATTTTATATCTAGATTACACATCAAGTATTTAAACATTGCAACAACCAAATATCTTAAGGAACCAAGTCACTGGATTTGAGGGCTTAAGACCATAGTCTGTAGGGACATCTAGGTCAATTGGCAGAACACTGTCCATAAGGACAAATTTGTACATCCTAGTTTGGTGAATAGTGTGATCTTAAAATCGTGTGAGTGTCCATTTAAGATATAACTATTGGTCTCTGCCCATTTAGCACAAAAAAAGAGTGAAGAATGTAATATTCAAGGAAACAATTAGTCCATCTGACTAATGGAGCACATGAACCACAACCGCCGCTAATGGAAGGCTAGAAGAACTAGATGGTGCCCCGTTACCACTCCCAACTACTCGGATTATTACCGCACTAGAGGGCCCTAGACAGAGTGAGAGAAAGATGTAAAGCAAAACTAAAAGTCATAAAAAAGACCAGACTTACTGTTCTGATAAAGACTGATGGAACTCCAAGACTGTGGCCCTCAGACACCCTTCTAACTTGGAATTAAACCCACTCCTAGAGACCACCATTCAGCCATACAATTGTTATTCTTCTTAAGTGCCGTTGAGTCAGTTCTGACTCATAGTGACGGTGTATAGTTTTTCCAAGGGGTGGCTGGTGGGTTTGAACCCTCCGACCTTGAAGTTAGCAGTTCAGTGCTTATCCTACAGGGCCACACCAGACTGCCTATAAAGTGAACAGTAACCCCTCCTCAGAAAAGCAACCAATAAGACCAAATGGCAACATTCACCAAAAAATAAAGTTCAAAAGGCAAGAAGGAGCAGGAAGGGTGAGCAGATGGAAATGGAGACCTCAGGGAAGCAGCGGAAAGAGTGCTATTACATTGAATAGTGTCGTGAAACAAAGTGTGTATAAACTGTTGGATGGGTGATTAATTTTCTCTGTAAATATTCACACACACAACAATGAAACATTTAAAAAAGAGGCATTTAAACACTGCTCTCCTAAAGAGACTATAGCCAGTAAACATGGCCTGCCAGGTTTTCATCCTAGTTGTGACTTTTGTACTTTCTAACTAGTATTGCATGCTGAAATGGATACAAGAGTCAGTGGTATGGGCATGTTAGCTGTGTGGCATAAGTACTTATTATTCTTTAACAGAGCTCACATGTGGGACATGGAAATGAGCTTGGTCTTTGGGTAACATCATCATCAAGATTATTACAGAGAGCACAGCTGAAAATGCGTCTTTTTCCCAGCATTGCCGCATCATGAGCTGTGTCGCTTCTTTGCAGCAGTGAGATGTAATGAAATGCTCATGATGCACATCTAGGGAGAAATGCGTCTTGCACACCGTGGGGGTCTCCCTTCCCCTCATGTGCTCCTGTAACTCCCATTAGTGTTAATAGGAGTTTCACCAAGCGCATCAAGGGGAAAGAAAGACCCGAAAGTCATAAGGATTATGTGTTAGAAACCACCATAGACTTTTTCTTTCTTTCTTTCTCTCTTACTCTCTCTTTCTTTCTTTCTTCTCGCCTTCCTCCCCTCTCCTTTGAAAAAAAGACATTGAGAGAAAAATTGACGTGACAGAGAAACTAAAGTGCAGCTTGGACAGCTAGGAAAACTCTTAGGATACCATTGTTGTTATTGTCGTGAAGTGCCATCGAGTCAGTTCCAACACATAGAGACCCTATAGAGGGTTTCAGAGGATCAGTTGGTGAGCTTGAACCACCAACCTTGCAGTTCAAATGGCTTTACAGTCTGGTGCATTAACCCACAATGCCACATCAGGACTCCTGGGGTACCCTAGTGAAGCCAAAACCTTTACTCTCGTTTTTTTTTTGTTTTGTTTTGTTTTTGTTTTTGGCTCAAGTTTTGTCTCTTCGACCTTTTGGGCCGAGCCCAAGGCTGAACAACAAGGGAAACATTACAGGAGCTTTCCTGGAGTGTGTGTGTGGGTGGTGAGTGGGTGGATGGGTGGGTGGGACCAGCAATTTAGATCCTTCTACCTCCTGGCCAGTGACTGTCTGGGAGGGTCTTGCATGTGAAATGATGTCATTCTCTCTTTGCTCTAATTCCTCGACTTTTAAATTGACACTGACAGACTGCAAGGGGCACAACATTTGACCCATTTAGCAGTTAATTTAGTCTGAGGAGAATGTTTCAACTTCTAAAGCTCTATTTGTCTAAATAAGTGGTTTTTAAAAGAAATCAGTCACTTTATTATTAAGTAATTTTTTTTTTTTTTAATTGACAATGTTTGGAGTGATCTGGCCAGTCAGAGTGCCCTCTAGCGTCTGTTTGTGGGATTTACTTAATACATGCTTTGGTCATTGCAGGGGGAGGGGAGACCTAATGAAGGGTGGCCACGAGCATTGTTAGTTCTTGGTTGGATAGCCAGGCTTGTATACATCCCTGCTGGTATCAGTGATGAGTGCTCAGATGCTAGTGTAGAGAAGTCAGTAGATGTCTCTCTCCTTCTCTTCTTCCTTCCTCCCAGTGCTTCCCCTTCCCTCTCTCTCTCTCTCTCTCTCTCTCTTTCTCTCTTTTAATTCGTAGAAAATAGGAGATAAAAAATTAATAAGGGGTTTTGCTAAACTGTGTATTTTAATCCTTGCTTCTTTTTTTGTTGTATAATTGAAAAGTAGCATCCTATTTTCTAAATATTCAGGTTTCAAATTCATCAGATTTTCTTATTTACTGTTTGATTTTTTTAAAAAAGAGGATTTCATACGTTTCTGATAAACTTTAAAAACTTGTATAAATTGTAAACTCTAATAAAGCAAACACCCTAATGCCATGCTAACGTGAATAGTTGTGTTGGAATTGCCAAGGAGTGTGCTGTTTCAGAGCTATATAACAAACGTGAGATGACAATCCTGACTCGGTGTGCATCTCCACAGATATCCCCTCAGAATTCAAAGATGACATTCCAATGATGGAAGTTGTCAACACATACATGTTCTGCCTGCCTAGTGAATACACGGAAATATTATTGATACTACTTGCATTCTTTTTGCGTTAATTCATCAAAACTCAATTATCATGAAATTAAAAACAGGAAACAGTTTCAGGGTAACAAAAGCATCCAGTGTATTTTAACTCTGTGCTGAGTTTCAGGAGACCCACACTGTATAAGTGACAAAAGCATTTATTACCCAGTTTACTATGATATTACAGAGTGAAGAGCACTAAATAATCAATCAGTTAATGGTGTGTATGGCAGTTTGAGCACATCACATTCATTGTGCTTAAGCTGTTAGAAGGATGAGCTGATAACCCCAGTGTGTGCTCCATGTTTATTCAGAGCCCAATGCCCTAAACCAGGGCTGACAAAAGTAAGTTGAAAAATGCAGCTTCAGCATTGGTCAAAGTTACTAAAATATTTTTGAAATAATATCCAGTGACTTTGGGTACAAATGTCCCCAAGAAGAGAGCTGGGAGTATCGTATATATATTATTGTTACTTTAGCCTTTACTTTTAGGATACTTTATCAACGTTTCATTTTAGGAATTTTATTTTTCCTTTTGTTTGGATTTATACTTGCACCTGATCTCCTTTACTATTTTTACTTTAATGAAGTGCCCTTGATTCTGTGAGATGTTTATATCACAGCATGTTCATCTGTTCATCACAGCACTTGACTATTGTTCATTATTATGCAGTGTGGCTGACTTAATTCCTTCAAAACATGTTGTAAATGGGCTTAGCTTTGTCATATTAAATAAGTGAGAAGCAACTTTTAGGTGCTGGTTTAATAAGAGTATATACATTGCAATCACAGATTTTAGATGAAAAGAAAGAGAAAAAAGAACAGATCACCTTGGAAACTATTTTAACTAGATGATAGTTGTTGTTTTTTTTTTTAAAGGATTCTTGTGTGAGTGTAATAAAATGTGCTTTGAGTCAGGACAAAATTTTTTTAGCCTATTTTGGTGGTTTGGAATGAGTGGTTCTTTGATTTCTAATTGGTTCATTTTAAAACAAGGATGATTACATGAAAGTTCTAACTCCTGTTTTCTTTTTCTTCTTCCTAGGAGATAAAAGCACTGATTATGCTAATTTTTACCAGGGCTTGTGGGACTGCACAGGAGCTCTTTCTGATGAGTTGTCTTTTAAGCGTGGTGACGTGATTTACATTCTTAGCAAGGTAAGAAGATTTTCCAAAAGGACCAACTGCAAAAGGAGTAAATGAAAAGTTAGATTTTTCTGCATTTGGATTTCCCAGCATTGGGGGACAAATGCCAGTTGGAATTCTCCAAGGTCCTTGTTAACAATCGGGAGTTCACAATAATTAATTATTTTGTCAAGTGAAATATAATCAAATTTTGAACATAATCAGATAACAGAATCCAACTTACCAGTGTTTACCCATCGCTTGAGCCTTTGGCTCACATCCACTGACTGCCTTCTCCAGAAACAATCGTCTTATGTAAAAGTTAACATTGTAAGGTATTAGGTTATTTATTATGTTTTTCTTTCCTCTTCCTTTTTATTCTTCGGTGTGCTGATTCTGACTTTATCTGCCATTCACTACTGGAAACACTGTGTTTATAGAACAAATTTTTCATCTTTATGTAAACAAAGTGAGTGTTCCGACAATTTAAAAGCAATGCTTTTCTATTCAGACAGGTTTAGGTAATTTTTTTAAGCTTAACACATCGTATTTATAAACAGAATGGTAAAGTATATCTCTATGCACTCATCTTTTATACATTAAAAAATAATTGCTTCTGTCTTTTAAGATACTAGACTATTTAGACTCTTTCTGTTCTTAGATGTAAGATTCAAGTTTCTTATCTATAATGACCTATGTGGAGTCCTAAATTTTTTCATCTCTAATTTCCCTTACTTTAACATGGGGATAAAAAAGCCAAGACAAAACAAAAACTCCCTTTCTCTACTTTATGAAACTATTTTAGAAATAAATGATATGTGGAAAATTTTTAATTAAATATAAGTAGGGAAATGTTATATTTAAGTACAAGAGTTTAATATGGTTTCTTGCTCAGAGAACTGTTTTAGACTTTTCAGAAAGAGAATGACTTGTTAGGTACAGGAAAGAATTTGTAGGTAAAGTCACATATTGAAGCTTAATACTAGGTGACTGGTGCATAAAATCGTAGCACAAAGAATCATGGGAAGTTAGAACTCAAGGTCTTAGCCATGGGACCTATACCCTCTGCTTTGTGGGTAAGGGAATTTGGGCCCCGACAGTGCTAAAGCAGCCCTTGAGCCAAGCATCTTGACTCCCAGGCTAATGCTTTTCCTTCTCATTTCTTTATTATGCTTGTATCTGTCTTCTTCCTTTCTTCCTGTTTTGATTTATTAATTTGAAACATCATAAAGTACCTTCCACATACCAGGGCCCGTTTGTAAGTGCCAAGAATCCAAAAGGACTAAGATAAAAGTACGTGTAAATTCTTAGGGAAAAAGATATTCACTAAGTATCAAATAGCTGTGACAATTGCTATGTGAGGTCCCCAAAGCTAAGGCTTTTCACTGATTTCTCTCAGTTCTCTGCTCATTAGTATAAGTTTTTTTAGAAAGACACTTTCAGTTCTTGGAAGCTTATGGATAGCCACATCACAGCTAAAAGATTAACACTATTATTGAGCATGTCATTGTCCTGAATGAAGGCAACAGCTTTTTGAGTTAACTAGAAATCAAACTGATTCGTTTCAGTTCTTGTCAAGAAACATTCTTGGAATCATGAAAGTATTTACTCAGACTTACTTAGCTCACATTTCCTTTCATTGGTTCAGCTGCAACTGTGTATAAAATTAAAAGGTTGATAAGCTTCCACTTGGAATTTCAGACTATAGGGGTAAATGGCATGGTGGTGGTAGTTATGTGCCGTGGAGCCGGTTCTGACTCATAGCGACCCTGTACGGGGTTTCTGAGGCTGTAATTCTTTACGGGAGCAGAAAGCCTCATCTTTATCCCATGGAACAGCTGGTAGTTTCAAACTGCTGACCCTGAGGTTTGCAGCCCAACTCATAATCACTGCACTACCAGAGCTCCTTATAAATGTCATGTAGCCATTTATATTCCTTTTTCAGTTATGGAACGCGTGTAACCCATCAGGATGTATTTCTAAAACCTTTATGAAACAGGTGTTCTTTGCCACTGAAAACCAATTCATTGTCAGGTTACTCTGTGAACCACCAGCATTCTCTATGCTCTGTCATCAGCCCTGACTCAGAAAATCATTCTCTATTAACATGAAATTAAATATATAGAATTAAAGATGGACATCACACTTCTAGGATTGCAGGGGAGGTCATTTCTGTTCTCCCAAATCTGTTTTGTGGAGATTGTAGTTTTTATTTGTGAACTTTGATCATGGAACTAAGGTTAGTGGTGGTCCAGCTCATGGAAAGCACATACGACCATCATAATTTTCTAAATGCTACGATTTGAGAAGGACCTGACCAAAAATACTTCTTCTGTCAGTCTTTCGCAAGGCTTGAAGTTCCATAATCAGCATTATTTCATAAGGGACCTTCTAGAAATGTGAATTTCAGCTGAAGTTCATTTTGCTTTCTAGAAGAGACAACACACCATTGAATGAAATGATTAAACAACCCATAGGTGTCATAGCACTGTTGTGGCACTGCTGTAGGATAAGCACTGGACTGCTAACCATGAGGTCAGCGGTTCAGTCATTCCTTGCAAACCCTATGTAGTCAGAACCCTATGAGTCAGAACCGACTCAACAGCAATTAGCAACAGCAACAACAGTGACCCAATTGTGGACATAGTAAGATAGGGCATCAAACAGGGAAATCTTAGTGAGGAAGAAAAGAAAAGTACACTGAAGAATATAGCAGAGCTCTCCCTCAGTGGGATTTGGACAAATTCTGGGCCACCAATGGGGGTCTTGGCTGTCGATTTTCAGGTTTTTGGAATTTGGGCTATTATTGTCAAGACTGCTACTTCCTTGCTTTGCTCTGGGCAAGTTCAGATGGGAACCTCTGGAGACTCTCTAATAATCTTTTATTGGCTTGGACTTCCAGTTTTATCAAAACTTTGGCAAACACAGGCTATAAAGGTAATGTCATAAATTCATTTAATATATGAATGATGACTGCAATTTTGAATGCTTGGTATTATTATAAATTCAGAACTCAAAGCTCTTAGTAGAAGAGAGCAATAAATTGCTCAAAAGGGCTTATTTCCAAGTCAAGACAGAGCTGATATTAAGTACTGGGAGATTTTTTAAAAGTACAATTTATATAGAAATTGTGCGAGTTGTTGTGTGCCTAGAAATACGTAATTTTCTTAAAGTTATATTTAGATTTCTTGGTTATGGGGTGAAATTTCACCATTTTAATTTATTTTTTTACACCATCTAGTGGCTCAGAATGAGTGGTACAGGTAATTGCAGCTAGTATGTGCAAAAAATGGTTTCATAAGTTCAACTTTAAGGCTAGCTATGGGTGATTTGCTATCTCATGTCAATGAAGTATTAGCATTAATCATGAAAAATTGTGTTCACCATTCTGAATTAAATGCAAAAATTGTGCGTATAAGGAAAAATACATTTTAAGGAGTATAAGACATTATTTGAGGAGAGAAAATCTGTACTTTGTAGAGAAATTAATTTCTAATAAAACAACTTAAAGATTTGAAAGAAATACAACTTTCAGTAATTAATTGATCAATAATTTGAAAGATTATATTAACACTGATCTTACTTTCTGGAAGGTTGTCAATGTTGTTGGTTCTGAAAAAAAAAAAAAGGCAACACAGAACAGTTTAAGAGCCGTGCATTCCTAAGCATTTAGACAAATACAGTACTACAATGGTGTGCATTATAGCAGTGTTTTAATTTTGTAAATGTAATGGCAGAAAAAGATATAATGAGGTTAGGGATTTAGGTTCTCTTCATTAAAATTCAGTATAGAAATATGTTTTTATTTATAGCTTCTAAAATTCAATCTTCAAATTTTGACTTTGCAAGGGAGACTTGAGATGGGGGTGCTAGCTGTACTTAATCAATCTGGGGTGGTTTATTTGTATCAGGCCACGTGTGAGAGTTATACATATCTTAGCTGGGTTTTTTTTTCCCCCCTTAAAGTGAAAAATCCAGTGTTGCAGTAAAGAAAGACAAGTTGGCAGATACTCTGCCTTTCTCCCTTCCCTTTTTAACATTTCCAATTAGCAGCTGTCATGTGATCCCTTGGGCAAGCTGGCCCCTCCTTCTAAGTGTCCAGCATTTTTTTTTCCAGTTTTAACCTTTGAACCTCACTAATAATAAATCTAAATCTGCTTGCCTAAGAAGGTATACCAGTAACTTTGCTTACAATTTTGTTTTGTTTTTCCATGTTGGATGCCTGCTGTTTTTTTAAGTGTTAAACTAAAACACTTAATAAACCTCAAATGTTTAGTGGAGATTTAGAAAAAAATTTCCCCTAAAATAATGGAGCCCATTTGAAGAGACAGATGCATGTGGAATTTGTGATTTTAGTACCTGCTGCATTGGTAGTGAATTAATTCTGAAACACACAAGGCTTGGTTTCAGATTGATTTGTTAGGAAAACTTTTATTTTTTAAGCATGTGTTCTTTTGTTAGATTTTGCATTTCAATTTTCTCACCATCTAAGTGAAACACGGGCACAGTATCATTGTTAATACTATTTTTCCTAATACTATGTTTGTGACATTTTATAATTTCAATGGCAGTAATATGTCGTGGAGTCAGTTCCGACTCACAGCGACCCTGCGCAGGGTTTCTGAGGCTGTGAATCTTTACTGGAGCAGAAAGCCTCATCTTTCTCCCGCAGAATGGCTGGTAGTTTCGAACTGCTGACCTTGGGGTTCTCTGCCTGACTCGTATTCTGTAGCAGTAGGGAAAATCCATACTCCCACATACATCTCAATTAATGGTTCTCCATTCTGCTCCTCTGGGTCTCCAAACACCACTAGCACATTTTGCAATCTGTGCTTATCAGTAAAGTGCAAACCATGTTCTTATCCTTACTTTTAAAGCAATAAATTAGTTCTAGAGTCGTAAAGACAGAGAGCTGTGCTTCAGCAGGAAAGAGCCATGTTACTTTGTGTGGTCTTTATAGAAAAATAAGACAGGAATCAAGGATCCTAAACTGTCATCCAATTTAGGGCATATGTGACTTGGCAGATTTTTTT